ACTGGTGTGGTGTTAGAGGAAAGATCATTCGCTTCAGAACTTCATTTGTCACAATAATGGTCATAGACACAGTCAGATATTAAAATGTAATCATCTGCATCAGTTCTACAGTAAGTGGCCAGTCTAGTAGATTATAAATATTCATAGTTTGAATAGAGCATTGATGATCATTGTGAATCAAGATCATTGTAAAAATGATTTTAAAACGTGGTTAAAGTTTGAAGTCTGTTGTTCTTATTGCTTTGGGCTACTGGATTTGATGAAGTAAATGAAGTGAGTGGTCAGAAGTGTGTTCAGCTCCAGCAGCTCCTCTGGCCTCATGCTGTGTGTCTTGTGGCTGCCTGGTCTGTGACGGTCCCCTCATACCAGCCGGCTGGATTTATAAAACGGTTTCAGGCTCTATAAAGTCTCCAATAAAGCACTTTTACTATTAGTGTCGGACACTGCAAGCACACAGCTGGTGACCGCCACCACTGACCATACACACACACACAGGCCGACATGCTGACACACGTGCACAGACGAGCAGGGACAGTCACATACTTACTGGTCAGACACATTTTGAGGACTGCTGGAGTCAGGACCTCTGCCAAACCCTAACCCCATGTCACCCCACCCTGCCGCCCCAATGACATCACTGCATAGCCCTGAACCACCAGCCCAGAAAGACCTTAACACACGCGCACACACATGCACAAACACACACAAGGGTTGAGAATCCAGAAAACACACACACCATAACGGATACCGCAGGGTCACATTTTGAGTGCACACATACATGGAGAAATGCATACACACACAGCACTTGACCATAATGACTACCGCATGGCCACACTGCATTGTCAACACACACACTCAACTCCAACATACACACACAAATGGATCGGCTCAAGTGCAGGCTGGTGCCTCTGAGTCAAGTCGTCAACTTGTATTACTGTACGTTCTCAAGTGGATGAAACATTATAGTGAATATTAAGAGGGATGGAATCTGTCTAGTCTGTCCTCATATTTCATGTCAAAATGCAAAAAGCGATATATTTAGGATCAATATACATCTGATTTTCATCAATTTGCTGATTATTTTCTTAAATGATGTAATTTTTGGCTGATAAAACATTAGAAAACTGGAACACATATCCACCATATATTCTCAAAGCCTGTGCTGATCAGATCCTAATTTGTCCAAGCCACCAACCAAAACCCAGAGATTGATTTAACTTAATTTCAAGGCAAAGGAAAGCAGAGAGTGATCAAACTGGACTTGAAGGAACTGGGTAAACTATAAATCAATTATCAAAAAGTTACAAATTAATCATCTACCCATTGATTACATAGATTTATCATTCCAGCTCCAAAACAGTCTTTAAATCCAGAAACCAGAAAAATGCCACAGTTGTAAAATCAAACCTCTTCCTTCACTTAATTAGAAAGTTAACATGGATGTGTCTCTGCAGAGTCAGCGCCACCACACGCCAGACCGGCTAAATGGTTGCAAACAAAGGTTCTCACACACACACCATGAGTGGAGGGGGCGCTGTCATACACTGTCCTGGGAGAAATTCCCAGGATTTTAATCAACCAATCAGAGATGAGCGTCTAAAATACAGGCTCTTCAACTGGAGAGGCTGGCCACTTCACATGCACAACTGTCTGCAAGTGAGTGAGTGTGTGTGTGTGTGTTGGAAACCAAGTTAGTCATTAGAGCTCCCAATGGGATAAAACACACGTTACACACACATGTAACACATCCAGTGTTAAAGCTGTGCACCCCCACACTTGAATACAAACATACTTTTAAACACACTGAAACCTTCTACTAGGAAATATGTCACCTGAATGGATGGGACACACACACACAAACTTAACGACGACTCCTGAATGACCTTGAGGACCCATTGATGCTTGCAGACGTCCCATCTTCTCAAATATCCAGTGCAGGACACACACATACACACACTTAGTCCCCTTCCCTAATTACAGAGTCCCCATGGACGAGACACTCGAGCAGCTCTTCAGCGCTGGGTTAAAGAAAAGGTCTTTCTCACCAGCTCCAGGGCAGACAGACAGACAGATGGACAGACAGACTGAGGCAGAGGAGGAAAACAAATAAAGAGGAAACATTCAGAGCGCAGATTCAGTGGTCCCTGATTTCTTCATCTATGTTGACCTTTCAGACACTAAATGAGGCAGCCCTGAGCTGAAGGCGTGCTCGACTTCTTCCTGTGGGTTTTCAAAGCGCAGAACAAGCCTAAAACCATTTCATCTTCCAGCTCAAGCTAAACTGAGAATGTTGTGAATTGTGTGGTTTTCACACAACCAGGGTGAAATGAGAGGCTGTTGCCAAAAACTGAACGTCAGAACCAAAACAGTGCAGCGGTGACACAGACTTAACAAAGGAAACTGAAAAGTGAAAGATGCAGAAAAAGAAGGGGAACGCTAGACAGGCAGAGAGAGAGAGAGAAACATGTCATGAATGAAGAGAGAGGAAGAGGGAGGGAAGAGAAAGAGCAGAAGTTGACTTGGTAGACAGGGAGGGAGGAGGAAGAGAGATTATCTCTCTCTAATGGCTAACCTGTTGACAGCAACACTTTTCACCACCTCTATCTACACATCTAACATTACCATCTACTTACACACACACACACACACACATATATGCACACACACTTCCTCTCCTCCTCCTGCAGGGTTTATCAGCATGGCTGTCAGTCTGGTCCACAGCTCATGTGGGTTTCAGACTTTTAAAACCCTGAAAAGTGCAAATGTGAACCGGAGACGTCACCGCCGGAGACGACCTCTGCAGCCATCGCAGCTCAGGTTGGAAATGAATCTGATCTGCTGACAGACAGAGAAACTCACTAACTCACTTTTCTCTGCTGCATCTGCCTCTCACGTTTTTGATGATTCAAAAAACACGAAGCTTGTTCAGATGAGCCTCTAAAACAACTGCCAATGAATAAAATGTTGTTTTACTGCACATCAGTCTACTTTATTACATTGTCCACTTACTTTTTAAACCATACAGACACGTGCTCCCATTTCCCTGCTTGCTGGGCTTTAATTTTCTGGAATCTTAACAGCATTGGTGTGTGAGAGAACCAAAAAACTGGGGTCAAAGGTCATCATAAAATCTTGGTATTCAACCGGTGACCTGTCACAGGTGTTTGTCTCATCCTTTCCTATACATTTTCACAACAGTGTGTACAAGATTGTAAGCGACCTCTGGTGAATTTTAAATCCTAAATACTTTAAAACAAACACTACTGAAGATAAAATGAGCATTTTAAGTCATTACATCTTGAGCGTCCTCTGCTCGTAACACATCCATCCATTTTCCATGCAGGAAATCTATTCCTGTCCTGTTAGATCACACAGCTGACCTGTGACCCCACTGTGAACACAGCACATCCACCAGTTACATGTAAAAGCATACGTAGAACACCTACCCTCAGCTCTTGAGTCTGTGACCGTCACCAACACAACCTTTGGGCTTGTGATACCTGTCAAGACTTTAAGTGGCCTGAGTCCAGATTCCTCCCAGAGTCACAGTCAGACTTGTGTCAGTGTGAGATACCACACAGCATCTGGCCCAGATGAAGGCACAGCAACTTGTCTAAACTGAGAGAAACATTTGTGCAACATTTCGACCAAAATAGTCCTGGTCTCCACCGCAAAGCGAGAGGGCTGCCTTCATTTAGGCCGATGGGGTTGGCAGACCTCTCTCTCTCCCTCTCATACGCACACTCAAACACACACACACACACACTGCGTTTCACCACTGTCATTTGCAAAGTCAAAGCCAAAAGTCATGAAATAAACCCACTCTGTAAGTAGACTGTGACAACGGAAACATTGTGTGGATGACAACAAAGTTCAAATGGAGCAAAGTTTGAACCAACCAAAGATGAGCACACCCAGCTCAGAAAACTCTCCAAGCAGCCATGTCCAAGTCCAAATGCAGAATATACATTCAAACACATAAATGCATGTGTGTCTGTGTGTGTGTGTGTGTGTGTGTTCAGGATGTCGTGATGAGAAGTTTCAGCATCAAACTAAACTCTTTACAAATACACAACTAAATCTGTCCTGCTGTTTTAAATTACTATTACATGTCACATCTGTCACTGCATGTCCTCTGAAGACGTCACTGTGTAAAATCCATTAAGAAATGTGTGTGTGTGTTCGTGTGTGTTTTAACCTGGTCTGCTGAGCTTGAATCCACTTGTTGGAAACTTTCTCCACGGATCATCCGGAGCGACCAAGTCCGAAAAGTGAGCCTCTAAGTCCGGCTGGGAAACTGTAGGAACAGGTAGGTTGAAGGTGGGGGAAGCCTCCAGACTGATCCCACAGCAGCTCAACATATGACACAAAGTGAGTCTTTCCAAGTGTCACTTTTTTCCTCTCTCTCTCTCTCTTTTCTAAAAACCTTTGTCCTTGTTTTCACAGCTCGATCACACCAACACCACAGCCAGGTCCTCGTGAGTCGGTTCGCGCAGATGTGAAGCTGCAGCCTCCGGCGAAACCTCGGACCTGTCAGTGCCGGAAAAAGTGCCGATTTATCCCGATAGAGACAAGAGAGTGAGCCGCGCGCACTGCTCGCTGTGTCCGGCTGTGTGCGGCCGTGTCCTCAGCAACAGGTGTCAGGAAGAAAGTGAGATTTCTCCCCGGTCCATCACAAGTTTCCAAACGGCGTCCAAGTAATTACACACAGGGAAAAAAGGAGGGAGGTAGAGGAGGAGGAGGGGGAGGGACGGAGGGAGGGCGAGGTGGTGGAGGAGGAGGGTATACTGTCCAAAAGCTCTCCAAGGTTTTACGCGTCGAGAAGCGCAAGGGAGAAGTTTGAAAACAGAGAAAGAGAGAAACAAAAGAGAAGGTGAATGTCGCTGTCTGCTGTGGAGGGAGCCTCCTGTCTGCCCACCGGTGCAGAGGGGGGAAGTAAGGAAGTGTGGTTCCCTCACCAGACATCAGCGGTGAGATCCCTGGGGCAGAAGTAAAACCTCTGTCAGGAGTGGGATTTGAACCCACGCCTCCATCTGGAGACCAGAAGTCCCTTTTACTCAGGAAGGAGTAATCCTTGAGTCTGGCGCCTTAGACCGCTCGGCCATCCTGACACACGACTGTCTCATCCCCCGTCAGTGATTAACACAGTTCATCTGTGCAGCTCAGTCACTGCACTCATCTACTCAGCTGATTGAAACTTCTCCCGTCACGTGTTTTCATAAGTTTGGTGAATCTGAGGTGAAAGAAAACTCCACACAAAAACTTGAGTGTAAAAAAAAAAAAAAATACCAGGAGTGGGATTTGAACCCACACCTTCAGGATGAAGCAGTCAGATGTGTCAGGTTCTTGTATAATCAATCAGACAATGAAGGTTTGCTAACCAAACTCACACACAAAGACATTTCCCATTTTATTCCTGCCACAGCCTCTTCATTGACAAATTAACTCAGCTCACAGAATCGATGTTGCAGAAGGGCCCATAAAGGATCTGTCAGGAGTGGGATTTGAACCCACGCCTCCATTTGGAGACCAGAAGTCCCTGACCAGAGGAAGGTGCAAGCCTTGAGTCTGGCGCCTTAGACCACTCGGCCATCCTGACAGCCCAGCAAGGTGCTGCTTTTACAGTCAGTCAGAAAATAAAGCTTTACCAATCACATACCAATAAAAGTATTCCCTATCAAGTGCCCTCACGTATTCTCTGGGTCTGTATGGACAAGAAAATTCATTTTTCACCAAGGCCTGCAGATAAAAGCTCTGTCAGGAGTGGGATTTGAACCCACGCCTCCATCTGGAGACCAGAAGTCCCATTGCTCAGGAAGGAGTGAACCTTGAGTCTGGCGCCTTAGACCGCTCGGCCATCCTGACAACAGAAATGACATCCTCAACAAAATCAGTAATGCCTGAGGTTCATAGGCGGCTTATTTAACCATGGCCAAGGTATCCACAGTGTTGGACTTAATCTTGGCTCAGCTACTTACAAACTGACGGGACCACTGCAAACACTGTCTTACTGAGGGTTTATTGGTGTGTTAGTTTAGGGATTTAGTTTCTAATCCTGGCGTTTGAATCTTGAACCCACAAGATTTAAAGTGTGAAGTTCAACTGAGCCACAAGATCACGCACAACATGATCAATTAACTTGTTAGTGATGAAACTTAAAGTTCTGTCAGGAGTGGGATTTGAACCCACGCCTCCATTGGGAGACCAGAAGTCCCTTTGCTCAGGAAGGAGTGAACCTTGAGTCTGGCGCCTTAGACCGCTCGGCCATCCTGACAAGCAACAAGCAGAGTTCACCACAGTCCGTCTGGCAGCATGGGAGAATTTTCTGTGAAAGCATTAAAAGTCACAGGAGGAGAAGAAGAAAAGGAAAATGTCATCAGTGTCAGTGGATGTTTGGACTGTCAGTGGCTAACAGCTTATTTTAGAGGCTCTACTCCTCTCACATTGTTTTTATTTCCTCTCAGAAGTTTTTCCTACTACTCCCTGACTCCCGTCCCGTCCTTCCATCTCGCTACATTTCACCCTCGTCCCCTCCCGCCTTCCTTCTTTCCTCCACTAATTTATTTACTTTAAAAACCATTTAATAGGGGGAAATAATGCCAACTCTGTATGCAAAATGTGAACCAACAAGCAATAAGTCCACGGCTTGAAACCACAAGTGAGATCATTAATTATTTACCTTGAAAACATGGAGTATACCCTGAATGTGTTTGAAGCTGAGCTGCTGTTTGTTTTGGTCCCAGACCTCCCTCTCCTCCTCTCTCTGTTTTCTTTCTCCCTCCATCACCCTATCCTTTTTTTTTCTTTTCACTCATGTGCGGTGTGATGTGTGATGATTGAAACCACACCGTCCCAAAGCCAACGAAAGTCCCCCCCACCCCCCGCCCCGCACACACACACCTCCCTCTGCAGTCATTCAATTTTTATTTGTCCCCCTGGCTCCCTGTGTGTCTCAGTCCTCCTTTATATCACTGTATATGTACAGTATGTATGGAAAGACACGTTGCACTGGATGTACATACACATTTAACTGTACACGTGCTCTCAAATTCATGTTATCTCAAGGACATCTGCGTTTTTTGTGTTGTGGACTAGTATCAGTGGGATCTTATCAGCACTCGGTCTGTGCAAAGAGAGGTGCGGTGTGTGTTTGTGCTGTCCGCCTCTTGAGGCAGTCATGTAAAAGAGAACGATTTTAAAATATGAAATAAGGAAACTGGGGAAAGATATTAAAACAAGAATATTAGGCATTTTGTCACGCCCATCCAGGCCCGCCCGTAGATCCACCACAGTCTTCTAAGACCTCAAAACTTTCAAGTCACCTCTCAAAACTCACCTGTTCCACTCTGCTTTTAACATTTAGCATTTCCAGATTCTTATCTCTACTTGCACTGTTATGATCCGTCTGGCCTATCCACTCCTCTGAAGCTGTGTGACAAAAGCTAAAAGAAATCCTGACAGCAAGTCAGGGCACAGACAAGAAGGTGAAATGATGCCTGCTGGTCACTGGGTCATGTCTCCACTCATTCCTTATCTCTCTCTCCCTTCCTCTCTCTCTTTGGCCATCACATAAATAAGGGAGTCATACATGCATTTCTCTTCCTCCTCCTCTATCCTGTCCACCCCCCCCCCCCACCCCCCCGTTTCCCTCCACTGACTTTTATTAGGACAGTAGATGGAGAAAGCAGAGCCGGTCCTCCCAGGTGCTCACACACGTGCAAAGCGTTGCCATATGTGAAGGTAAACACCAGAGCATATGCTTCATGTATAGACTGTCAGCGGTCGTGTGATACCTTTTATTGTGTGAAAAACAGAATGACCCGAACGACCGGATGATGTTTTGATCCCAGCTTGGAAATTTCTTCACAGAGGAGTGGGTGAAGGTCAAGGCGCAAGGTCAGCGGAGGTGGGGTGGGTCTGTTAACCCAGGTTTTCTGGTTGAATGAGTCGAACAGTTCCTTCCTTTAAGCTGCTGATATATGCAAAATGCAAACATCAAAGGTAGCGCACAAGTGTGTGTTTCAGTCATTTTATCTCTCCTTTATCATCTGTTACACACAAACATTCACCCAACATTCACCCTCACCCACTGCAAAAATACTCCCTTAATATTTTCAATTTTTCATTCTGTTTCTAATTTTAACAATTGGCCACAAAAATGTGACTTTCAAGATGCTCAGTGAGATTTTGTATGAAAAATTAGGTGAGGAAAAAAACAACAACACATAAATCAGCAGGAAATATCATTAAGCACCAAACAGTCAGATTTACAGTAACAGCTTCACGTGAATGTTTGGGTTTTAAAGACCACCAACAGGCTGATGCCCTTCAAAAGGACACTGGTGGAGATAGAGACGGCAGGGGTATGGAATAATGTCATTATAGTGGGCGGGTAGGAAAATAAACCACTGGTGACAAGATAAGAGACAGAGTTTTGCTTGCATGTGAAAGAAGAAGATAGAGAGAATGAAAGGAGGGGAAGGGAGCGGGAGGGAAGGAGAGGTCTGAAGAAGTGAGGACAGGAAACAAATGGAGAGATGTTCCAAAGAGGTGTTTGTGAGTGAAGATAAACTGAACAGTTTCCCAGAAGATTAAAAGAATGAAAATGTTATTTCTGTTTCGCCAAATGATGTTTATTCATCTTTCTTTATGTCTTTTATAAGATACTTTCACCTCTCCTGGCCTCTAATAGTCCCTCAAATCAAATCACCCTTTGGTTGCACTGTGATGCAACTCTTGGGTAAATGGGCCGACAGACAAAAAAGACAAAAACAATCCCTCCACAATAAAATAAAGATAAATCCATATTTTATTCCATTCTCTCATTCCGGTTTTTCAATCCACAACAAAGTTACGGTGAGTCCCAGTCATCACCATTCTCAAAGACAAAACATTATCAGTATAAAACACACAACAAAACACTGGATTTACAGCAGCAGCTCATATCCGACAGAGTTTCATTTCAAACTAAAACGGCCTCAGTTTGTCAAATGTTACACAACCTCCTCCATGATCATTAAAGCTTTGAGCAAATTCAAACCAGTAACATTTGAGGAAACAGCACCAAAGATTTCCCCTCCTAAAACAGATTTGAAATGAAACTCGCTTACACCCATGTTGTTTTGAGCTGTTTTAAGACACTGTTCATGTGTCTGCACCGAAAACCTTGAGATCAGAGTTGGGTGTAAAGTCAGACTTGAGAATAAAGTGTAAATCCCTATCTCTGGGTTCTGTGTCCACCAGGTTTTTCTTTCTTTTTTTTTTTTAAGGTGCAGCGCTCAACATGTCTTCAGCACTCAATACAGTATGAGACTATAAAAACCTCCATTTGAGGAGCTTTTTACTTGAATTTTGAAACAATTACAACCTCTGGTGCTCGGTGCTGCAAGCGTTTACATCATGCTAAGGCTGTCAGCGCTGTGGAAAACATGCATTCGAGTGTCATTTCCACTGTAAACAACAAGGACAAGAAACTGGTTCTGATGAAAAATGTTCCCAGTGGACACAGAACCTCCAGTAGGTGCAATGTACGTACGTCCCCTATAACAGTCTCCTGTGTGTGGAACAAATCTGTGGTTTCTTGCAAATCACAAAAAAGAAGAGATTTTGACACATTATGTAACATACCAACCAATAGATGACAATATTTTCAATTAAACAAGATAAATGTTTTTTATATATATATTTATATATATTACCAAAAGCAAAAAATATATAACAATTACTTTATATTCCCTCCCTCCCAAGAAAGAAAGACAAGAGAAAAAGAAAAGATGCTTCATTAAGGGGAAACAAGTAAGTTCAAACTTCTCCTCATGTTAACTCTAAAGGGATTGTCACAAAAGGGCGAGTGAGGAATTATCTGAACTCAACGTAATCTCAGCGTGGACACCATAACTGAACACAACATCTTAGGTTAAAAAGAAACACAAACCATCTCCTCTGGCGTGTTTTAATAAAGGGAGTATTGCGAGATTTATTGTAGTTAGTTTGTGCCTTTCATCAGCGATGGAAAACAATAGATGAAAAGCGTCATGTTCCCCTGACGAAAGCTGTGTTTCTGTTAATTAAACTTCTCTCTTTACAATTTACACAACTATCTAGAGATTAC